TTTTTAATGTGGGAATGCAGCACTTGAGGTATTCACAAAGAAAAGAGAAATACTAATACTTAAAATATACCCATAAAATGGTTTACATGTATATGCTTTTTCTTAATTGCTACAAAAGTGATGGTAAGATGAAAATAAGTCCTTTTGAAGGTAAGCTGAAATATGGAAACGTTCTTGGTGAGCTTAAATTTGGAAATACTGAATCTCACATTAGTTCATCTGTATCCCTCAATATTTTATTTCTGACCCTTTAGATACTACCACTGATAATCAGACAAGGAAGGGCATCTAACGAATACACACTAAAATTACTAATGAAGAGGAAAGCCAAGCATAGCCTTTCTGTTGCTCGTTAGCTAATGAGATATAAGCAGCTGTTACTGGAATTGCTTCTCTTTTATTAGGTATTTTTTAGAGGCAAAATTAATTTTTTAATTAAATGAAAATTCTTAAATAGTGAACAATGCAAGTATTTATTCTTACTTACCATGCCAATGCTAGTTTTTATTTTAAACCATTACTTTGCTCTTATTTTGAAAAGAAGCTACCTTTCAGAAAGTTGGATCTGAACACATTCCTTCAGAATGAATTCTATTTTCCTATTTCTTTTTGTTGTAATTTTTATTTTTATTGTTTTCTTATTTTGTATTGATACATAGTAGATGTACATATTTTCAGGGCATGGGTGATCATCTGAAACATTCCTATAATCAAATCAGGGTGATTGAGATATCTATCACCGATTAACATTAATTGATTGTACATTTCAAAATAGCTGAAAGAGAAGAATTCAAATGTTCCTAGTGTTATAATATCTTTAAATAAAGCTTTTTTTAAATCAAAGGAAATAAAAGTTTCCAATAAACTTAAATTGAAAATGGAGCAGGATTTATGGGCCTTGCTGGTTCAATATGAGGATGTCTACATTCTTCTTCAGGGAAAAGAATGGTGTCAGTGCTCTGTTCCTCTGAACTAATTTTTGTAGCTTCCTGGAGAGTCTGTTTTCTCACAAAAGCATGACACTTCAAATAAATGTGACTTTTAAAAATAGACGGTGAGCCGGGCTCGGTGGCTCAGCCTGTAATCCCGGGGTTTGGGAGGCTGAGGTGAGTGGATTGCCTGAGCCCGTGGGTTCAAGACCCGCCTGGGCAACTTGGCGAGACCTCATCTCTACAATAAATCAAAAAATTAGCCGGGCATGGTAGCATATGCCTGTATTTCCAGCTACTTAGAAGGCTGAGGTGGAAGGATCGCCGGAGCCCAGCAGGTTGAGGCTGCAGTGGCTAGGAGCGGCCACTGCACTCCAGTCTGAGTGACAGAGTGAGACTTCAACTCAAAAAAAAAAAAAAATTAGCCGGGCGTGGTAGCACACGCCTTTAGTTCCGGCTCCTCGGAAGGCTGAGGTAGAAGGATCGCCGGGCGACAGACTGAGACTCCAAAACAAAACAAAACAAAACAGAACAAAACAAAACAAAAACAAAAACAACAAAAACAAAAAAATAGATGGTGAAAAGATTCCATACATATTTGCAGAAGATGTTTTAAGCTATTATGTACTAAAGTGCATTGCATTCCAGAATACATCCATAACTATTCCACAGATTTTGGAATGACCAGCTGGTTTGGGGACTCTCCCATTAATGTGAGCATTTATTTCATAGACTATGTTCATCAGCTTGAATATCCTGGCACCAAGTACCTACCCACCTTCTAAAACAAATTCCATCCATAAAGTCAAGTTGTCACTTCATTGAATTTTTAATAACACTAATTCATATGTCAAAAGTTAAAGGAAAAAATTTTCATACACATTGAATTGTAAATTTTAGCTCAAAATTCCCATTTTAGTGCAAGAAAAGTTATCCATGTTACAATCATGCTTTCATGATTTCTTTTAAAATGCAATAGGAATAATAATATCAGGTCATAATCACATTATGTCATTAATCTTGCCAAGACAACTAAATTATAGAGAAGATATTGTATATAAAAGTTAAAAGAGATTCATGTTTTAAACAGGTGGGAATGGAATACTACCTTGAATATTTAAAAAAATAAGTACTAGCCAGGCTCAGTGGCTCTGCCTAAAATACTGTGCTTTGGGAGGCTGAGGTGAGTGGACTGCCTGAGCCCGCGGATTCGAGACCTGCGTGGGCAACTTGGTGAGACCTCATCTCCACAATAAATCAAAAAATTAGCCGGGCATGGTAGCGCGTGCCTGTAGTTCCAGCTACTTGGAAGGCTGAGGCGGAAGGATTGCCGGAATCCAGCAGGTCAAGGCTGCGGTGGCTGGGAGCGGCCACTGCACTCCAGTCTGGGCAACGCAGTGAGACTCCAACTCATTAAAAAAAAAAAAAAAGTAGCTGGGCTCGGTGGCTCAGCCTGTAATCCTGCGCCTTTGGGAGGCTGAGGTGAGTGGAGTGCCTAAGCCCACGGGTTCGAGACCCGCCTGGGCAGCAAGACCTCATCTCTACAATAAATCAAAAAATCAGCCGGGCGTGGTAGTGTATGCCTGTAATTCCTGTTACTTGGAAGGCTGAAGTGGAAGGATCGCCGGAGCCCAGCAGGTTGAGGCTGCGGTGGCCGGGAGCGGCCACTGCACTCCAGTCTGGGTGACAGAGTGAGACTCCAACTCAAAAAAAAAAAACAAAAAAACAAAAAGATGTATGGAAAGTGTTCCATGGAGTCCAGATTTATTGACAAGCTCCTACCAAGATAGATATGAGATAATCTATGCAGACTCACTCAATTAGTATTAGTTTGAAATCTGTCTTCCCTACTTGACAGGAAGCTCCACATGGGTGAGAATCACATTTTCCTGATGCATTCCCGTGTTCCCCGCACTTTGCACAAATATCAACACATTATGCTGTAAGATGTAAGCAACTCCTAAATAGAGAATTTTGTGTTTTGCTCACTGACCGATGCCCATGCTAGCACAGTACGTTCCACATAGTAGGTACTCAATAAATATTTGTAGGAAAAATGAATTGATAAAATGCTAAATAACTAAACACTAAGCCATGCATGAAAGCTAAGACAGCAAACATGCTTAGTGAGTTTCAGATAGCATCTGAAAATAAATCATAAATGATTCATAAAATTCATGTTTTCACAAGACCCTTTAGCTTGATGAACGATTCTAGCCTTGAGTTACTGTGATTTCTCCTTTTTGGTTGCTGGTTCAAGGCAGAAGAGTTTAAGGAATTGCATTAAGAGGACATGTTACTTGTGTCTAAGAAGCAAATTTTACCCAGAGCAAGTTGCCTATCAGAAACTGGGTCTTGTTTTTCTCACTTACTCCTATTTTCTGTCTCTTCCTGTCCCTTTTCTCTTTACTCCTCCACATAATGTGTTCTTCCAGCCCCTGATTCAATATGTTCCTTCCGGCTGTATTAAAATTCAATTTTGCAAGGTTCAGGACATGATATCACACTTCTTTAAACACCTTGGAGTCACAGAATTTGTTCTTTACATTCCTTACAAGCTCCATGTAAAAAGAAATTGGGAGCCATAGAGCTCTTCTGTATTTGAGGGCTCAGACCTCAGTGCTGTAAATTGATCTAACACAAACCCACAGTATTCCTTAAAAGATTAGGAATTGTGGCCATATTGATGAGATATGGGAACAAAATACTTCCAGGTCTAGATTCCCAAGCCCATGTTTTTTGTTGTTATTTTGTCTTCTAAAACATATAACAAGAAAACTGTCCAGATTTAAAATAGAAACTTTGAAGCATAAACCTGGTGTGATTTTGTAGCTAATGAAAGCGTTGTAATTTTATTTTTAAAAATTGTAAAAATAAAAGAGAGGCTGTTGTTTCAATGATAAGTCTTTGGTAAATTGGTTAGGTGAGTAGGGTAGAGAGAGAGATTTGTTAAAAAAAACAATATGAGAATCACCCTGAGCTTAAGAAGAAACCAAAAGCTGGGAGGTCACTATATGACCAGGAAGCCTAATTTCGAGGAGCAGATCTCCAAAGCCCCCTAGAGAAAAGGGGAGTTTTGCTTCACCTCTGAAAAGGGAACTGAAAGTCCAGCCTCAACAGCTGCCTGTAGAATGTACAATAGTTGTATAAATGGCTTGCTTTCCATTGACTCCCAGGCATCTTAATGATAGGAACATTATTGTAATTCTAAGCTTCAAGGTTATGAAAGAAATGTCTAAAATCTATAAACACAACTAGGATTATAAATGGGATGCATTTGTTGGAAATACCACTGCAAAACCAGTATTGGAAAATCCAAAATTAGATACTGTTAGAGTACACAATTTAAAGAACCTTTGGTTTGGGAAATATGATAACATCGAAACATTTTAACTTTACTTTAAATATCTAAATTGAGCAAATATACACGATGAGTGAAAACATACAGATTCAGTGAGTCATGATCCATCATCATTGAGGCTGGGGAAAGAAAATTAGGAAACATTTAAATGCCATTCATTCATTCTCTAGCATTTAGCATAACGCTAGAGGAGTGAAGAAAATGCTTTGAGGGCAGGCTGAGGAGGCCACTTTGCAGCGGCATCTAGGGGAAATAGATACATACCCTCCAGGAAGGAAGAGGCCATTAGCCCTTGCTGGCAAAGGCATCTGCAAGTGTGCAAGCACAGCAATGCACAGAGCATAGGGGTGTTTGGCTGAAAACCCAGAGTGAGATGGAAATGCAAGAAATGAAGGTGGGCAGCTGTGGACACAATGAAGGAAAGGACTTCAGCACCACCATTGAGAACTGGGAGCTTCCTCTGCTGGAAAAGAGAAGTCATCAGCAGTGATCAGGGGGTATATGGCACAGTCCCATGATGTCCTGCCTGGACAATGGTGTGACCAGAACGATAAGAGGAGTGGAAAAGAGAAAAGAGGCTAAAACAAAGCCCAGTCACACATGGAAGCATCTGTTGGCTTCTCTAGAACAAAGCTTTCTTTTAATTTCATCTATTCTCACAGCATAGGTTGCGTGAAGTATGAGAAGCATGGAAAGATCTGTGTACTCACTGTTTTGAGGGTGCCAGCGCACAGCGTTTAAGTAGGCATTGCAATAATGGAAGAGAAACTCGTGATCGGATTGTTGACTTTTCCCTTCAAGCAGGGGCATCAGATCATGTCCATCAATGATCCTGTGGGATAAATCAGCTGGGCATCAGGGGTTGAATGAGCCATATTGCCTTTGGATTAAAATGCCCTCACTTCTGAAATGTCCTTATGAACATACAAGATCATGATGGAGCTCCATAGTCATGGATAAACAATTGATAGAAAGAAGACTAACCCCACCTGGGTGCCATATGCAACATACTGATCTCAGCTCGACCCATGTATTATCTAATTAAATCTCCAAAGAGCATCATAAGTTGAGACAACTGTCTTCCCCATTGTAGAGATGAGAAAACAGAGGCACAGAAAGTTTAAGTAATTTAAGATAAAGTTATCCAAGATCATGGGACTAGTAAAAGCTGATGGGATTGTAGCCCAGGTGATTTGGCATTCACACTCTCAATTATTCCCCCCTTTGTTTCTCCAAAACTCAATTTTCTGTCTCTTGCCTGAAGAAAGGGAGCGCTTAATTCATGAACTATATATAGATCTACTTAAAATAAGAGAACCTGACACTTGAGTTTAAGAAAAAGATAATATATAGCATGAAGCAACTTGAATAGGATGGATTTCAATGAAAGCAAATTTCTCCATCTGAATGGATTAATAATTGATTAATGATATTATTAAATACTCTGTGGATGAATTGCTCTTGAATGAAAAAGTATTGCTCCTCTACTATTGGGTATCTAACTAGGCCAAGAAGGGGAACTTTCCAGATTGCAAACAGTAAGACATACACAATTGGTAATGAGCAAAATAAAATTTCTTGAAGTTTCAATAATGGGAAAATGTGTAAAATTTTGTTTTGAGTTAAATAAATTAACAGCATCCTGAGAAATTGAAGGCATTGATACCATTACATTGCTGCTATAAAAACAAGGGGCAAAGAACTATTTTGAAAGGGTGAGTGTTGAACTTGAGGATTTTCTTTGATTAAAAAACACTATATCTCTGTCATCTCTTATTACAAGGCATTTAGAAACTTGGAGTTCAACATGGCTATATAATTTGGGTAAGCATGCTTAAGAGGGACTGTGTCCCTTGAGCTTTCTTCTCCAGTTTATTTTGGTGTCACTAACAACCCATAATGTAATTATAGCCTTGTTGCTTAGCATTTCTCTGGACTCAACCCTTGTTATTAATCACGCGCTCCAGTCTATGGACTGAAAATATTCTATTATCATAAGTTAAAAATAAGAACAAAAGACAGGCTTGGCTCACTTCCCAAGCTTACATTCCTGTTAACCACAAGCAGAAAAGAAAGAAACATGGTAGAGAGAGTTCTATTCAGATGCAGCAAGTTCCTTGAAATATTGCTTCCATCCTGAAATGGCAGTTATTGTGCTTGTTTCTTTCAAATTCCTTTCAAGAAAGACTCATGCCTTTATAATGTGAGAGTCTGAATAAGGTTGAAAGAAAGGAAAAGGTGAGAGGGGAGGTGGGCAGTTATGAGAATTAGACCATGAAAAGCCCCCAATGGTGAAAAACATTTTGACAGTGAAAGACAAGGGACAGAAGGTTTCTATCCTCTCCATCACGCCTAACCTCCATGTGGAAACAGGGTCTTTCCGTGATTCCCCAAAAGTAAAATGAAATCCCCATTTCTTAGATACAATCTTGATCTTTAATTTTTAAATCTTGGGCTATTTTTCCCTTTACCAACATAACTCAATATGTGATTTAAGAACATGGCAGATTGAACTGCTTTCTTAAAATTAGTATTGAGTAACTGAAATTGGCCATGGTAATATGAAGGAGAGATTTAATTTTAAAAAATATAAGACTCAAAGTCTCATAAAAATTTTTCTTACAGACAAAATGTGTGAGTTTATTTTAAAGAAGGAGCACAAAGTCTATTTTGCAAACTTCTTTTTCTTCAGAAGTGGGGATAGACTCATTTTTTTAAATATCCTACACCTAGCATGCTCTTTCCTAGAAGCAGGCAATAAATCACGCTGCTATGGAAAGCCACCATTTAACAGTGCTGCAGAAATATGGGCTGTCAAAGGGAGACTCATTTCTGCCATGAAAAATTGAAAGTGACCCTATTGAGCTAAACTTTTAAGTGGTATCTAAGCTATCAAAATACTTGGGATTGTTTTAAACCACTTGTGGGATTTGCAGTTAACTGTGGCAATAACTTGGAGAACAGTGCACTTCCCTTAATGCTGCTAGTACGAAAATGTTTTTATAATGTCATGACAATGCCCAATCCACTTTCAACATGACCCAAAGCATTGCTGTTTTCTATGGATGTAGTCTAATGGAACTTTTCCTGCAAACTACTTCAAGTTTTTGTGGCAAGTTTGCATAGACAGCTAATGCTATAAAATTGAGTGAGTTCTCTTGTAGTATCCTCACGACTCTTGGTAAAAAACATGTTATTTTTAATTCAGAGCTGAGATTATTTTCTTGAATTCCTGGCTGCCAATGCCGATATTGATATTAGCAATTTGTTTACAAGGTACCATCATTTTAGAATTTCAGGTCAAGTTACATAGCATGCGGACGATTTTCACATAATCAAAAAAAGCATGTTCTGGAAAACTTCCTTGAAGTACAATGGCCTCATTCTTCCATGAATGTGCTATGCTGAGTCTCAGCTATGAGCCTTTGAACATCCTTGTCTCTCTACCTTCAATGTCCTTCACACCTGCCCTTTGCATGGTCAACCCTGGGAAGGATCAGAGGATCGCTAGAGAAGGAAAAGTTTCTGTGGGGGGGGGGGGGTGGAAAGAAACAGAAGAGACAGTCTTGGGGACTGATAGCTAATTTGGGGTACAATGTTGGTAAGCTAACTGTATGATATCCAAAATAAAGTGGTTTTAATGTAGAAAGTAATTGTTAAGAAAACATTTTTTAGGATAAAGTACATAAACCTATAATAAACTAAAGGGAATTCTAAGCATCTGGAAAAGTTATTTTTAAAATTTAGAAAAAAATATGTTGATATGTACAAACATTAAACCCTTTGCCATATTTGAGTAGAAAGTAAGATCAATTAGAAGTGGTTGCACATATAAGGTTGGAATTGTTCACATGAGGAGAGTCAACTTTTATTCTACAAAAAAGACATGAACTAGATATAGTTCACTGACTCTTTCATCTGCACTGCTCTGTTGAAAAGGTCTTCTGTAGTTGCTTAGGTATAAGCAAATGTTACTGGAAAAAGTTAACTAAATCCCTTCCTTGTCTAAATTGGGGGAAAAAAAGTCATTTCTGTATAGACCAATAGGAACAGGATAGATATTCTGGAAGCAAAACCTCAATTTCTCAACCAACTCATCTTCCAACACAGCCTCCACCAACAACCACTGGGGAGAGGAGAACCTATTCAGTAAATGGTGCTGGGAAAACTGAATGACCACATATAGAAGAATGAAACAGGACCCCTACCTATCGCCATACACAAAAATCAACTCTAAATGAATCAAAGACCTAAATGTAAAACCTCAAACTAGTACAATCTTAGAAAATACAGGAGACATCCTTACAGAAATTGGAATGGGCAACCAATTCCTAATCAAAACCCTCAAAGTCCATGCCATAAGAAATAAGATAGACAAGTAGGACATCATCAAACTGAAAAACTTCTGCAAAACAAAAGAAACCATCAAGAAGAGTGGGGAGACAGCCCACAAAATGGGAAAATATTTGCCAACTGTATATCTGACAAAGGCCTAACATTCATGATTTACAAGGAACTCAAACGTGCCAAAAGGAAAAAAAAATAGCCCTATTAAAAAGTGGACAAGCCGGGCTCGGTGGCTCAGCCTATAATCCCGCGCCTTTGGGAGGCTGAGGTGAATGGATTGCCTGATCCCGCGGGTTCGAGACCCACCTGGGCAGCGAGACCTCATCTCTACAACAAATCAAAAAATCAGCCGGGCGTGGTAGCGCGCACCTGTAATTCCGGCTACTCGGAAGGCTGAGGTGGAAGGATCGTCGGAGCCCAGCAGGTTGAGGCTGCAGTGGCCAGGAGTGGCTATTGCACTCCAGCCTGGGCGACAGAGTGAGATGCCA